TAAGTTTTATTGTATTAAAATTTTATTGAATTTCTAAATATAATAGCAACGGTGTTATTGGATAAAAAACAGTATTTATTTAGCACGTAAAATAATATACATAAACAAATGAAATATAACTAATTATACAAATATGTTTTTTTCTCTTAAAATGTAAAATTATATATTATTAAATTATGTACTATTTAATTCTCATTTCGCTGAAAACTAGCAGTAGAAATAAACAGATATACAAGTAATGAAAAATACATAGAATACTTTATCTATCTGTCTATATTATACTCGCGGAGAGTCAAAAATGAATCAATAAGAGCTTATAATGTCGAAGTCAAGAGGCCAATGCTGTCCAACTCAATAAATTATTATTCAAGTATCTTGACCAACCCGTAGAAATCTCGAAGTTTATCCTGACAATCCTTCAAATATAATCTCTTGGAAGCTAGTATTAAAAGCAGATTCGGTAATGTATTAACTCTTTGTCCTTTATTAGATATAAAGCTTATGTCTTTCCTAATGTCATAATCACAAGTCTGTCATGCATGTCCAATATCTCGGTATCTAGGCAGAATTCGTAGAAATCTTTCATCGGAACAAAATTATAATTAAAGATTAATAATTTATATCATTCGCAAATTTTATATTTACAAACTTAACTTTATTTTCAAAACGCTTGCAATTATAAATATACTTATTAAATATGAAAATAGAGTAAGTCTTATGGAGTATTAGCAGCATTTAGCACACCGTTGGCATTCCATATCTCTGACTTTAAATTAACAAATGTTGTATATAATAGAATAACATTTATACTTCATTGAATAATTATATATAGTTTACATTATTCAAATGGTTATTTCAAATAAAATGTTGTATAAAATGAATAATTATTAGATACCGACATCAAATAAATTAACATGTTTCTATTAATATTCTTTTTTTTTTCATAGTCTATGAAACCGGTACGAAAATATATTTGATAATTTATAGATCAAAGTTTGTCAAAAAAATATCCATAAACTATTACTTTATTACTTCTTATTTCTTATTATTTTATTACTTATAATTTTAATAATATAAATTGTAATTTTAATCAAGTTTTGGTTCTTCGTTAGATTTGTAAGATGACGAAAATTAACGAAGCTAACTATAAATAATTATCAAATTGATATCTTTTACTAATATATATATATATATATATATATATAATATCACTTTTAGCTTAACAGTTTTGAAGAAAAATAGTAATTTTCTTATATTACATGCACGTGACTTTATAAAGTTTAAAAAAAAAAACTTAAAATATACTTATAAATTAACCATTATTTACAAAATTACATCTTATAATGTATGTTTATTTCACATCAAATTATTCATTAAATATATATTGATATTTGATTTAAATAATTAATTATTACTTATAATATTTATTTCTGATGTTTATCCATTTCTGACTAGTAAACTAATTTTCAATTTAACTTTATTTACATAATTTACTAATGAATGTTATTATTGATATCAACATACATTTTGTCATAATTTAATATATTTCCTACATATACATTTATAATATGTATTTTGTAATTTTTGATGATATTAATATATAAGCTGATAAATTGGCGATGAAAAAATTGGAAAATTTTTTGAATTTATAGTTTATTATTTAAAATATTCTGTATAAATTTATTATAATTTTCGAAATAACTAATTCTAGGATAAAAACACTTTACTTTAAAAATTATAAATATTTTTACTTGGTCCTGAATCAATGATTTTAATATTATAGTACTATTAATTTATGAATGAACTAATTTTATATTAATTACTAAAGAGTAATAAAACAATAAAGAATTGTAATAACGTATTAAAGAAATGGAAAATAAAGTTAATAAATTTAATATTGTTATTTGCATTGTTCAAATTATATTAATTTCAATATTTTACAAGTGAATTTTCAGAATACTATGATCTATTTTAGTTAGTACAAAAACTTCGTATGTTTATGTTTTCTTCATAAATACTTGTAGTTCTTATTATCTTGAACATATAGCCAATAGAAAATCTTAAGTTCTACAGCTAACTTCATCCTTTATGAATGAAGTTGAAGCTTAGATTATACCCTTTCGTACAACTTGAAATCCGAAATAGTTTTATCTCTCTCTATCTATCTATCTATCTCTCTCTCTCTCTCTATCTATCTCTCTCTCTCTCTCT